TTGGATTTTTGCTTCTTCACGATTTCGACTAATGAAGGTGAAGCTTGCATCCGCAGACATATAGAAACATGTCCCTAAACTAGAACTACTTATTGTTATCTTACAAACAGTGTCTCCTATCTCAGTAATGGAACGGACCGGAGCAGAGATATTTTATATTCTTCATAACGTTATGATTATAAGTAGCCTGCAAAAGTAATTTTTCTTCAACTCATCTGCAGAAAATCTCCAGCTAAATCTGTTTTATCTTCATATTTTGTTATTTTCAGTTAGATCCTGACACAAAATCGTTAATACTGGTGCGGTTGATAGTCGTAATAAACTCGTCTGTGATACGTGTATAACGTTTACAGATGAACAATGTCAAAATTCTAGTATGCTTTCGATGCAACTTGGCAAGTGTAACTAATATTCTATTATTTTCATCTTATAGATATGAATGTTTACAATCAGGCTGTAATGCTATTCAATCATTTTAAAGAAGATCGTATAATAAGTTCATAGAGATCAATAATGGTTTTTTATTATTTTTTTTGTTATGAATCCAAATAAACCCAGTTTATATCAGAGTTTTGCCAGATGTTCTTTCTTCGTGTTTTCTAGTGATGTTGTGTTAAACGGTTTTTTGAAATATTCTTTTATGCGAGATTAGCAATGAAATATGTATTGTGATCTATTTCTAGATATTTTTTATTCCGAGTTTCCATCAACAATAATAAGTCTTATATGATTTCTTTTTGTCACGTCAAAACTGCGTTTTGTAGTTTTATCAGTCTTAATTCAAACTATTTCTCTAGTATATCTCGTTCTTAGCATATATATGTTCAACCTAGGCCATGATGTTTCGATAGGAAGCTAATTTAGTTGTGATTATTTGAATTTATATGGTATCTCTTGTTTAATTTGTAGCGAAACGTTTTTGAAAACTAACTATTTTTTATAGTTTCATAATATTAATAAGTGCATAATATGGTGGTTATATATTAATTGTTGATGATGTTGCTTTATGTGAATGTGCATGATTTTTACCTTCGGTTTCTACTTTATGTGTATGACGACACTGTGAACATGTGGCAAACATATTAGACCATCCTGCTTGCATATTGAACCTATCACCACCAGATAGATGCTGCGAAGCTCTGTAACCAGTAACATAATTGTTGTCTGCATTTTCCACAGGCACATCATAATACAGTCTATAGTTACTTTCACCATCAATTGTACTACCATGATTGTGTGATGGCATTTGATCAACTGCCAATGACGTACCACTTACAGAAATGTCCGGTGTTACGCTTGTTGAACCATTAATTTGTCAAGAATTATAATAAAAAAAAAAACTGTCCACTGCTCCTACATAAAAAATGAATGGCTCAAGCCAGCGATTACCTATATTCCATGGTACTTCGAGATTCCCAGAGATGTCTACTCGGAGACAGACACGTGTTCTGGGAAAGTGAGCCCTATCCGAACGACCGTAACTGGAGGGCTGGGACTTGCATAATTTTATAGAGTAACGTTCAGACTATCTATGCATGCAAAAACGTTAGTAACATTGTATGTTAGTTTTCTCAGAACGGAGCTGGTTTTCCAAAGATCTCCTGGAAAATCGGACTTACAGAAAATTTTGAAACAAGTTTCTGCTTACGAAAATATGTCTTAAGGTCTTGGTTATTTAATAGTGAAAACCGCAGGTTGCTGTCTCATCTCAGTTTAAATTTATTAGCAAAACACTCACGACCACCGTATTTTGGAACGAATAGTAGTAGATGAAAGAAAACTGAGTGCGCCTCAGCCATAACTATCTTACTTAGTAGTTTTGTTCATTATTCTCATGCGATCCACTCGACGAACTATGATTTATAACTGGTTTGTATTGAGAAGAGTTTTTCGATGTGATCGCGATCTGTCTTCTACATTTTGCAGTGATTGGCTTGACTGAAAATGAAGAACATTC